GCACCTACTTAGAACAAGCTTAGCAAAGCACAGGGACCGCGGTTCAATCCCCCAGCACCACATGCCAGCCAGCCCCGCCCCCTGGTGGACTGAGCTGGCCACACACACACACACACATAAATAAAATTTTAAAAAATAATGTTAATAATAATAATTGAGGGCTGGGGACATTGCTTGGTGGTCTTAGTGCCTGCCTGGCAAGTGCAAGATCCCGAATTTGATCCCTCATACTGTATGCTGTACAAGCCAAAACCAGGCATGATGGTGCACACCATAATCCCAGCTCTGGGGAGGCTGAGACAGGAGGATTGCTAGTAAGTTCAAGGCTAGCCTGGGCTACATAGTGAGTTCATTGCTGAACTATACAGCAAGACCTTGTCTCTAAAAATAAAAAACAAAAATTGTATAAATTCTCTTTATATTTGAGTAACTTTTTTAAGTGCAGGACTTGTGATGTATGCTTGAGTAAAGAGGGACACATGTATTTTAGAGACAGGCCCCTTGAATTTTTTCCATGCTACCTACCATAGGGAGAAAATCTGCCTGGGGAAGAGAAATCAAACACATCAGGAAACTAGCACGTGGTGCCTTGTACATAATTGGTACTCAGTAAGAGTGAATAAATAAAACGTGGGTAAAATGTGTAAATTGGGGCATCTGTTGGCTCCTTACTATATTTACTACTTCTGCATTTGAGGGGGTATAAGTTACATAGTGGAAGATTTTAAAGAACACTCTTGTACACTGTTTCCTGATCTTTTTTCTGACAGTATCCCCTTGTTTGGATTAAATTTGTCCAGTTACTGCTATGCCATGGCTCTGGTGAAGTTGGGCATTTCTAGAATTGGAGCAGGGACCCCATCCTCCTCTCCCCCTGACAGTCTCATAGTATTGGTCCTCTTGGGGAGATCCAAACATAGCCAATGACACACTTTGTGCCACTCCCTAAGGTTATTCAAAGATGGTGTGGAAGAAACCAAAGAAAGAGGTGGCTAACGTACAGCACTAGTAGTAGCTTCATATCAAGCCCCCAGGCACTGCTCTTGGCATTTAATGCATGTTGCCCACACAAGTCTTGTGAAATTTATGCCATTCTACAGATAAAGAAATTGAGGCACAAACAAGCTAGGTGTTGTGGTGTACATGTATAACCCTACCACTCTTAAAGATTGAGGTAGGATGAGCATAAATTCAAGCCTAGCCCATACAGTTTGGTGTTTTAATGAGAGCCTAGGGCCCGCCAAATAGCTCAGCGAATTAAAGCACCTGCAAGCAGGCTCAAGCGCCAGGGGTTCGATCCCCAGGCCTCCCTGCCCCCAGGGCATGCTGAGATGGCGAATGAGACTGGGTGTGCCTGTAATCCCAGTACTTGGGAGGTTGTACACAGGAGAATCACTATGAATCTGATCTAGTAGTGAAACCCTGAACACCCTGTAGACCCTTCCCTACAATATAAAAGAAAGGAAAAAAAAAAGAGAGAGAGAGAGAGAGAGAGAGATCCTGTCTCAAAGTAAAAAACATAAAGGTTAAGGAATGTGGGTCAGGGGCGAGGGAGATGGCTCAGTAGAATAAGCGCTTTCCTGGCAAGTGCAAGGGCATGAGTTCAATCCCCAGTTCCAAAAAAAAAAGGGAATGTGGGTCAGTGTGAAGGCCTTGGGTTCAATCCTCAATACTGAGTGGGAGAGAGAAAGAGGAAGAGGGGAAGGGGCCTAGGATATAGCTTAGCAGCATAAACGCCTGCCTGGCAAGCACAAGGTCCTGAGTTCCATCCCCAGTACTGTAAAAAAGAAAGAAAAAAAGAGGAACAGGAGAGAGGAAAAATAATTAGGTAACTTGCACAAATTTGTATACCTAACAAGTATTGAGGACTTAAATCTTGACAATTTGGTTTCAGAATTTTCTAAATACTAAGAAGAAAAAATTTCTAAATACTATTCCAGATTTCAGAAAGAAGTAATGATTAAGTAAGATTAACCCAATGGAACAGTTACTTTTGAGGAGTGGTCAAATAGCATTTTATGAAGGATGCAGACACTACATTGTCGAGGTGTGGCTTTCTAAATAGTTTAAACAGCTGTGTTGAGATATAATTTGCATGCCATACAGTTTGCCTGTTTAAATACACAATTCACTGGGGTTTTTAGTTTGTTCATAGGGTTGTGTAACCATCACCACTATCTAATTTTAGAATATTTTTGTCTTCCTTAAAGAGACTGCATACCCACTAGCAGTGAATCCTTTCCCCTCCGCCCTAGGCAACAAACCACTCACCCACTTTCTGCCACCACAGATTTTTTTTCCCTGTACTGGACTTTTCACGTACAGGCCAGAAGTATCCATTTTCAGCTTTTTAAATATTTGAATAAACAAATATTTGTAGATACATGGTGATATGTGTTGCAGGTGGGATCCTAGTCTGCACACAAAATTTATGTTTGCCTGAAATGTACAAAGCCTGAAAATAATTTTTTATAATATGTTTAGTGTGCCTGTTTTTTCACTGCAGCTCATCACATGAGGTCATGTGGGGAATTTTCCAGTGTCCTGTGTCTTGTTGAGACTCAAATGGTTTTGAATTTTGGAACAATTCAAATTCCCAGCTTAAGGATGTTCAGCCTTCAAATAGAATCATACAATTATGTGACCTTTTGTGATTTCTTTCAGCAAGCATGTTTTCAGGATTTGTCCATGTTATAATGTGGGTACTAGGATACAACACTTCATTCTTCTGCTCTCTCCTCCCCTCC